ACGCACGCAAGCACGCACGCACGACCGCGCAAGCGCTTGCACGCACGCACGCACGCACGCACGCACGCACACACACATACACACACTTGCACGCACACACAGAGACACATACAAACACACACAGACACACACACACAGAGGCACACAGACACAGACACATGCACATACAATCACGCTCGCACGCACACACACACGCACGCACGCACGCACGCACGCACGCACGCACGCACGCACGCACCCGCGCGCGCACGCACGCACGCACGCACGCACGCACACGCGCAATATTGTCTCTCACACGGCGATATGACAACACTGCCGCGACAATCACACTCTGTGATAATCGCCGACGCTCTTGGACGCAGCCTGCAGCGAAGAACCATTTCGAAAAAAACACACTCACCCACCTACGCACAACAACATGCCGGGGAATGTAATCTGGGAGAAGAGGATAGAAAGGGAACGAACCACAAAAGCTGCTCCTGCAACCCGCGATCGAAATGATGATCGATATCATGACAAGATGAGTGCCGATCATCCCACTCAAAGCCCGCCACCCTCGGATACGAGGGTTCCACCATCGCACCAGATCTAACCTCCTCTCACTCGAACAGCCCAAATGCGAGCTTCCGCAAGCAACGAACCAGCCCCCAAAACCAGAAGCCCCACCGGGCGGCAAACACCCAGAAACCACATAAGAAACCAACGATCCTCTGGCATCTTCTCCGCAACTCCCAAACAACCGCCACGAGGCTGCTCCACGGGAGCTGCGTCACCCCCAAACATGCCGAAACCTATCTCACAGACACACACACACGCCGACCCTGCAGCTCCGCACTGCCAACGACCAGTCGGCCAGCCGACACAGCAGTGCGCAAGAATGGGCCGGCCTAGTGAGCCAAGTGATTCAATTTAGAGCTGGTTGAACAACGAAAATATCGTCGGAGATCCGTATTTTCACTGCCTTACCACTGAGGTGCAGCGTTAGGGGCGATCAGCCGAGGGGGGGGGACATCGACATGGTAATGGCGGTACATTGCTGACATATCGGGAACAAGCAACTGATCCGCTCTGTCCTTAGCGGGGTGGGCTATCGGGCCCCAGTCGGTGGTGAATGGGCGATTAAGGATCGATTCGTCATTCCCTGAGCCGACCCATCGGTCGGAAGACTTAGGTAGAAACATGATGAAGTAGGAAGGCGTTGAAAGTAGATTGGGTCTCCGCCCGCCCTTTACAGAGGAAGGAGAAGGGACAACCATGGGATGATTGTAGTAGGAAGGCGCTTGAGGTCGATTGGGATCTGGGTATCCAAAGATGCCAACTTTCAACGACCGATGGGTATCTCCCCCACGATCCTGGATCCTGGCTTTCGGATCATAAATCGGATCTCCGGCGATGGTTCGCGACGATCTAAAAACCCCTGGGCGCCTCTGGTCGAGGCGCAGCTGCTGAAACGCATCCCGAGGCGCTGGAAAACCGCCGAGGACTAATGAAACTCACCGAAAACCTTTAACTCACCTCGATCTCCTGACATCCGCCGATATGTTTTTTCACTCCGCGGTCCCAGGGGTCCGGACCCCTTCCCTGGGGAAAGATGTTGCGTGGCGAATACAGTTTTCAAGGGCGCCTAACTTCGCCCTTCGCGCTGCGCGAAAAGCTTCGTTCTCTCGCGACGCCTCCCAGGGGAGAAGAGGAGGACGAGGAGCAAGCAATCGGAGCCGAACCGCGGAGCGCGACTGACTTCGCGTCCTTGGTGCTTGCGTTGCGGATGCAGACGAGCGAATAAGGCTAGCCAGACGAGCCGGCTCGACCCACATCCTGGCGGCCGGCCAAGCGGTCACAGCCGCGGGCTGCCGCATAGGACGTGCTACAAAATGAATGCAATACTTACGGGTCACTTGAGACTCCTTCAAAGAATTCCTCGCCGTAAAAAAAATGACGGCCCATGGGGCCCGAAAACGGCCGCCGGGGCCGAAGTCGCGGAACAAACGCCAGTGGAGCAAATCCGTCGGAGATGGCGAGGCGTCCACGAGGGGGGGCGCCCAGGAGGGGGGCTTCGCAGAGCATGGCCCGAGGCACGCGTGCGGCACAGGGGAGGGCCAGGGAAGGTGTGGAGAAGAAACATAACAATACGAATAATAGCAAGAAGAATAACCAACAACAGAGAAAAACGCCATGGAATCCTGGAGGGCAGAGACACGGCTAAAACAATGTCCGCCGTGATGTGTTCCTCGACGCGAGCATGTTTCGTAACGTGTCCCTATAGTGACAGTGTTCAGCCTCTTTCGCACGATTGCTCCGTTCGTCCCTCACCCCGCCCCCGGGGGGGGGACATCGTGGCCCTGGCCCTGGTTTGTACCTCACCACTCAATGGCCTTTATGAGAAGGAGCAACGCCATACACATCAACTTTTGGCGCTCCGCGCAGAGCGCCAGGGCCACGATGCCCCCCGTGACGAACGAAACAATCATGCGAAAGAGGCTGAACACTGTCACTATAGGGACACGTTCCTGAACATGCTCGCGTCGAGAAACACATCACGACGGACATGTTTTAGCCGTCTTTCTGCCCTCCAGGATTCCATGGCGCCTTCTTGTTTTTGTTGGTTCTTATCCTTCGTCTTCGAGCCTTGGCGGGCCCGAAGCTGTGCGGTGGCAGACCGTGCGGCGACCTCGAGCTCCCCAAAGGCCTCGCCGCACGGTCCGTCAGCACACAGCAGCCTTGGGACCTCGGAGGCCCCAGCGGCCCAAAACGCCCTCGGATAACGACCCTCCTTCTACGTTCTCCTCCTCCTCCTCCTCCGCCTCCCTCCTCCTCTTCCTCCTCCTCCTCCTCCTCCTCCTCCTCAGCCTTGGGACCGCGGAGGCCCCAGCGGCCCCAAACGCCCTCGGACCACGACCCAAGTCCCATTCATTCGTGCGGTCATCCCGACTCCCACCTGGCTCACCAAACGGTGTGGTCACCGAACCTTTTGGCATTGGAGGCGGCCAAGGGGTCTGCGCTGGTTGTCCCCCAAAAAAAACTAGCCTGGCGAAGGACCCGACCACATGCAGTTGTGAATACCGCAGTTTTATGTATCGTCTTCGGTGGAGTCCCCTTATAGGGCCATGAAACGCTGTACTGGGTGGGGGGACGCATGCGGACTGCGCCACTGGAACCTTCGGTGAAGCTCCCTATGGGGGCACGGAAAGCTGTACTGGGTGGGGAAGACGCATGCGGGCTGCGCCACTTGGACCTCCGGTGGAGCTCCCCATGGGGCCACGAAACGCTGTACTCGGTGGGGGAGACGCATGCGGGCAGTGCCACTGGGGCTCTCGGTTGAGCTCCGTATGGGGTCACGAAACGCTGTACAGACTGGGTGTGGCGGACGCATGCGGGCACCTCCACTGGGGCCTTCGTTGGAGCTCCTCATGAGGCCACGAAGCGCTGTGCTGAGTGTGGCGGACGCATGCGGGCACTTTCACTGGGGCCGTCGGTGAAGCTCCCTCTGGAGCCACGAAACGCTGTACTGGGTGTGGGGGACGCATGCGGGCACCCCCACTGGGGCCTTCGGTGGAGTTCTCCATGGGGCCACGAAACACTGCACTGGGTGGGGGAGACGCATGCGGGCACCCCCACTGGGGCCTCCGGTGGAGCTCCTGATGCGGCCACGAAGCGCTGTACTCAGTGGGGGGGGGGGGGGGCGCATGCTGGCACCCACACTGGGACCTTTGGTGGAACTCCCTACGGGGCCACGAAGCGCTGTACTGAGTGGGGGGGACGCATGCGGGCACCTCCACTGGGGCCTTCGGTGGAGCTCCCTATGGGGCCACGGAACGCTGTACTGTGTGTGTGGGGGGGGGAGCGCATGCGGGCACCCCCACTGCGACCTTCGGTGGAGCTCCCTATGGGAGCACGAAGCGTGTGAGGGGTGTGCCAAAATGACGGGGGTGACGGGGGGGGGGAGGCGGAGGAGGAGGAGAGGAGAGAGGAGGAACGTGTGGACCTTCTCTTCAAAACGAGGGCCCAACACCACAGGACGGTTGGGAATACCGTGAAGACGGGGAGATAATTAAAGGCAAATCCGATCAGAATTGGTCCCTGGACCCTTCTCGGGATTCATCAAATGAAATGTGTCACCAAGGATTTGTTTTTGATGGCCCCGGGGCCCGAAAACTGCCCTCAGAGGCAGAAGCAAGGCACACAAAACTGCTCGAACCCAGAACCTCGAACCTCCCCCCGTCCTACTGGCCGGTGCCACTGCTGCGCCACTGAGACCCCCATCTGGCCCCAGATATGGCCGCCTACTGCTGCGCCACCTGAGACCCCATCTGGCTCCAGATTTGGCCGCCCCCGAAAATAGTGGTTCATGGAAACGACAAGCGCAATGTGTTGCCCGGATCCGCTACCGCTTTTGTTTCTGACCGGCTCCGGCTCCAACCCCAGAAGAGTTGTTACCGTTTTGGAGAACCGTTTTGTTTTATCGCTCTCATGCTCAAAATCAGGATGTCTGGAAATGATTTCAAGGAAACAACTCTGCCGTCTCCAAGACTCGTCGGGGATCTGGATCCGTGCCACTTCTTGGCGGCGCGCACAAGGGGGTTGGGACAAGGGTGAAGGCCTCTCGGGAGGAGGCTGCTTCTTCGCAGGCGCGGGCCTCACCTCTCCAGATGTGGCCCGCGCCCTCTAAGAGCCAGCCTCCTTCTAAGTTCTCCTCCTCCGCCTCCTCCGCCTCCGTCCTCTCCTCCTCATCCTCCTCCGCCTGCCTCCTCCTCCTCCTCCTCCTCCGCCTGCCTCCTTCCTCCTCCTCCTCCTCCTCCTCCTCCTCCTCCTCCCTCCTCCTCCTCCTCCCTGCTCCTCCTCCCTGCTCCTCCTCCCTGCTGCTGCTCCTCCTCCTCCTCCTCCTCCTCCTCCTCCTCCTCCTGCTCGCCTCCCCCATACCCCTTCTGCGCGTGGCCGAAGCTCGTCGGGGCTCTGCATCTGTGCCACCTCCTCGCGGCGGCGGCAACTCCGCCGGACGGCGCCTAGCAGGCCTCGCACCGCCACCGCGGAGGGACCCGGCGGCGGCGCGTCGCCCGCGGCCTCTCGCGCGCGCCGCCGCCGCCCGCTGCCATCGGAGCCGAGGTCGAGTCCGATCGTGTCGGGCGCTAGCGTGCCCCTCCATGAGACGCGCAGAGACATACTCATACTGTATGTCCTCCTTGGAGGCGCGCGCCCGACCCGAACATATGGTATGCCCATCTTGTAGTGCATCGTGTCCCGAGCGGTGTGGCCAGAAAGCGCCCGCCCCGACGCACATGCTGGAAGATCTCTCGGTGTGCGCGTCGCCCCTGGGGGAGCGTCGCACATACAGTATAAGTATGCTGGGGTGACGCCGACTTCAGGCTCTTCGTGGGCCTCCCTACATGTGCCTCGTGTTGTTTTTCTGCCCTCCCCTCCTCCCTCCCCGCCCGGTGCCCGCCGCCTGCTGACCTCGTGGTTTGATCTTCGGCTTCGAGTCGAGCCGGCGGCCGCCGAAAATGCCGAGCGCCGCGCGCGCGGTCCACCATCCTGGCGGCCGCGCCACCACAGAGGTGATCTGCCCCCGTGGGGCCCCGCCTCTCGAGTCCCGTGGCAACTCACTGGACCCTCCCGTGCCATCTTGCCGGCTCCTACGAGATTCGACGCTGGCCGACGCCACTCGATGTCAGTCGGCGCTGCATGGGCGCCACGTCGGCGCCATCTCAACTACCAGATGCCAGCGCACGCGGGCCCACTCCAGACACGGAGCATTGCGAGGACACGCGAGGCTCCTATGACTTGCGACCGAACGCCTCGCTGTGTCTCGAGTCTCTGGACGTCCGGTCCGCCCACTTCCCATGTTTCCCATCTTGTCCTGGGGATCGACGATTCATTGTGTCTGTGTGTTTTGTTGCCTACCTCCTCCTCCTCCTCCGCCTACCTCCTCCTCCTCCTCCTCCCCTCCTCCTTGGGTCCGCCTCTTCACCCTTCCTCGAGCACGGCCGGGCAGAGGCAGAAGCGTGCAGGGACAGCCCGCGATCGGGAATCTCTCGGGCTGGGCGAAAGGGGAGGAGAGCAAAGGGGGGGCTCCTCCTCCTCCTCCTCCTCCTCCTCCTCCTCCTCCTCCTCCTTGGGTCCGCCCCTGCATCCTTCCTCGAGCACGGGCGGCCCTTCTTGCTCCCGCAAAGACCCTTTTTTGCTGAGGGCCCCCCGTCCGTGCACGACGCATGGCGGGGCAGAGGCAGAAGCATGCAGGGACAGCCCGCGATCGGGAATCTCTCGGGCTGGGCGAGAGGGAGGGAGAGCAAAAGGGGGGGTTTGGGAATCAGCTCACGTAGCTGATTTTCCTGGCGCCTCCTGGCGCCGGGAAGCGGCCATGTATCGAGAAATGGGCCCCTCGGTGGGGCCGAAACCAGCTGCATGCAGCAGACTCCGTACCCCCCCTTTCCCTATCCCCGCCTTTCGTCCGGCCTGAAACTCTGGAGCTGATCGGAAGGTTGTATCGGGCACCACGGCCGTTCCAGAGCGCCCTGGAACGCTCTGGCGCGATCTGTCTGCCCAAACCCAAGCGTCGTGATCTCTTTTCATGCGGGGCCCACAGAAATCCCGACCCGATCCCTGCTGCCAAAGTTCGTTTGGCCCTGCGACAACCAAACCTCCAACACATCAACAAAAACGCTAGATGGCTCATGGTTCGCCAATGTCGGTCTCGGGTGGCCCTGGCCAGGCCCCGGGACAGTCACCAACTGCTCGGAGTGGAGAACTCCCTATGAGCAAAGAATCGAACGTTCCGAGGCCTCCGGCGGACTCACGCGCGCGCCGCCGCCCAGCACTTCGATCAGCGCGACGGTTGCTGAGGGGATGGGGGTGAGAACAGGTGCACGTCAAAATAGGTTATAGATGGCCTGACCTATCTTATAAGCGGGTTGAAAAAGACCCAAGGCGGCTTAGGGAGATGATGATCCGGGCCAGAATTGCCTGGCCCCACTGCGCCGCTCAGGGCACTTTATATGCTAGTTTCGGCCAGACCGGGCCAGAGTTGCCTAACCCCACTGCGCCGCTCAGGGCACTTTATACACTAGTTTCGGCCAGACATGACCGAATTGCAGTGGTATCCGCTGATCAACCAGCTGTCCTCTTAGCACCACCCGAATCGATCCAATTAGACATCCAACACAATTAAACCATCATCACGGAATGCAATTTTCGGTCTCTGGGGGCCCTCGCCGGGATCCAGGGCATTCAAAAAACAGGTCGGGATGGAAAACAAATCACGAAAGGTCGAGACTTCCGAGGACCCAAAACGGAAAACATCAAGGCATCGGATCTCTGAGAATCGGGCTGCTTTGGCACGGAATCGAACTCGACTCCGATCGGAATTAGTCAATATCAAAAACGAATATCGAGTCGAATCGGAATGTGGGAGAGAAAGAAGCGAGGATCATGACCAAGACTGAACATGAGAACGTCGTCGCCAATGTTGATCACCGTCCATCCTGGTCACCGTCGATTCGTAAATCATCATCGCGAGTCGGCGACGGCAAGTTCTAAACATGAAAGAAATCGGCGTCGACAAGATCCAGCGTCATCTCGGTGATGGCCAACTTGTCCCTTTCCCTCGAATGTACATCGATTTGAGCTGCATCGGCACATAATCGAAATCAAATCTGATCGGCCGCGCCAGGATGCACTAAATACATCGCCCACGCAAACATCGACCCACATCGGATATCGAATCGGATCGATCGGATCGGCCTCGAAGCGGGTGCGCGGTGTGCCGAAATGGGGGTGGAATCGCAAGCGCACCCTGCCAGCGGGAACCTCCTGTGGAGCTCCCAATGTGGCCACGAAACGTGTGAGGGGTGCGCCGGCATGGAGGTGGAACAGCCTGTCACTGCGGCCTTCGGTGGAGCTCCTTATGGGGCCACGAAACATCTGACAAATGTGCCGAACTGGGGGTAGAACCGCATGCGAAACCGGCCACTGGGGCCTTCGGTAGAGCTCCCCATGGGGCCACGGAACGTGTGAGGGGTGTGCCGAAATCGGGGTGGCACCGCATGCGAACCCTGCCACTGGGGCCTTCGGTGGAGCTCCACATGGGGCCACGAAACGTGTAAGGGCTGCGCCGAACCAGAGACATGCGGAGTGTAGAGACAAGGATGAGAGAAGGGAAACGGGGCAGCAGGAGAGTTGACGCGAGACGCTCTCTTCAAAACAAGGACCCAACACGACAGGATAGTCTCGATCGAACCTGCACTAGACGAAGGGCAAAAACTGATAACCATGAACTTTCGACGGTCCGTACGGATTTTTCTGGATCTGCACTGGACCCCCTCCCGGGTGCGCGGAGCGTGCCAGAGGCGGCGCCAGAGGCGCCGCCAGGGGGGCCCAGCGCGGATCCAAGAAATCCGAGCGGACCGTCGAAGGTTTATGCTTGCACCCCTTCGAGATCCTCTCTCGAACCTCGAACCTCGAGCGAACCTCGACCCTCTTCGGTGGCATCTCATGGGAACCTTCCATCGCCTCTTGTAATCAGACGCTAATCGACAAGGGTGCGCCGCTGGATCTCCCCAAGGGTGGGGAGGGGACCCCCCCCCCCTCCCCGATCCGTCGTCGGGGACCCCCCCCCTTCCCTCCCGTCGTCGGGGACCCCCCCCCCTCCCCCTCCTCGATCCGTCGTCGGGGAACCCCCCCCCCCTCCGCTTTTCAAAAGGGGCAGGGGAGTTCCGAACCGCCCCCCCCCCCCTCCCCCCCTTTCGCCACGCCGCCCTCTGACTCCGGAACCCGACCCCCGCCACCCGCACCCCTAGTCCTCACCCTAACCCAAAACCCTAATCCTAACCCCAACCACCGGCCCCAGCCCCAAAGAGCACTCACTACACATTACTCACTACCCACTACTGACTACTCGCTATTCGCTACTCACTTCTCACTACCCCCTACTCACTACTCACGACTCACTACTCACTATCCACTACTCACTACCCACCACACACTACTCGCTACTCGCTACTCCATACTCACTACTCCCTCCTCCCTACTCACTACTCATTACTCACTCCTCACTACCCACTACTCGATACTCATTACTCACTAAGCACTACTCACTACTCCCTACTCACTAATCACTACTCATTACCCACTACTCACCATCCACTACTCACTACTCACTACTCACTTCTCAATGCCCACAAATCACTACGCACTACCCACTACACGCTACTCGCTATTCCCTACGCCCTATACAATACTGACTACACAATACTCAGTACTCACTACTCGCTCGTCCCGTACTCGCTACTCAATACTCACTACCCACTCCCCGCTACTCACTACTTTCTACTCACTACTCACAAGTCACTGCATAGTCTCTAGTCACTAGTGACAACTCACCAGTCACAACTCAATACCAACTACCCACTACTCACTACTCACTACTCACTTCTTACTATTCACTGCTCACTACTCCCTACTCTACTCCCTACTCACTACTCACTACTCATTGCTCCCTTTTACTCACTAATCACTACCCACTACTCACTACCGGCTACTCTCTACTCACTACTCACTACTCACTACGCCCTACTCGCTCCCCACTACTCACTACCCGCTACTCCCTACTCGCTACTCACTACTCACTACCCACTTCCACTACCCACTACTTTCAATTCATCACTACTCACTACTCACTACTCACTACGAACTACGTACTACTCAGTACTCACTACTCAATACTCACTACTCACTATTCACTACTCGCTACTCCCTACTCACTATTCACTACTCACTACGCACTACGCACTACCCACTACTCACTATTCACTAATCACTACTCGCCACCCACTACTCACTACCCACTTCTCACTACCCACTACCTCATTACTCCCTACTCCCTACTCATTCCTCACTACTCGCTACTCGCTGCTCACTACTCACTACTCGCCACTTTCTACTCACTTATCTATACACACTAGACACTATTCACTACTCACTCCCTACTCCCTACTCCCTACTCCCTACTCCCTACTCGCCGCGCGCTATCCACTACTCACTACCCAATACTCACTACTCACTACGCACTAACTCACCACTCACTACTGACCACTCCCTACTCCCAATTCCGTATTCCCTACACACCTTCTCCGACGCAGAAAGGACAATCGAGAGAGGCCCCCCCTCCCGGGCTCCCTTTCCGGCGCAAAGAGGGGTACGGGGGGGGGGGTCTGAACCCCCCCCCCTTTCCAGCGCCAAGGGGAGGAGGGGGGGGGTCCGGACCCCCCCCTCCCCTTAAGGGAGGGGGGGAAGGGGGGGGGTCGAACCCCCCCCCCTTTGAAAGGGGGGAGGGGTGGGGGGGGTCCGACCCCCCCCCACTTTAGTGTATTCAGGGAGATCCACTGGCGCACTTTCCTAATCGACGCTAGTCGACGGTGGTCGGCGCTAAATCGACGCTAGTCGGCGCTGGCCGACACTACTCGAAGCTATATCGGTGCTATCTCATTGTTCACCAGATGCCAGTCGACGCTCACCGACGCAACTCAGACGGTATGCTCCGACCGCAAATCGATGCTCCATCGTGCCGATCCGAGGGCCGCCCGAGGGCGGCCGGGCGGAGGCCCCATGGCCTGCGGCGCCGCGTCGGCCGAGGCACCGCTGCGGGCGTCCGCGTCGAGGCTCTCGAAGCTCTCGCTGTCGCTCGGCGGCGCCCGCGGCGGCGGCGGCAGCCTCGCGCCCCCCGTGCTGGCAGGCGGGGGCCTCCGGGAGCTAGAGGCGATGCTGCGTCGAATGTCCGTCGCCCGGGGTGTGGCTCGAGTCGAACGCGAGTCGAGCTAAAGTCGAGCTAGAGTCGAACCGATACGTTAAAGTAGGCCCCAGGAAGATCCCCCCGACGAGCCTCAAGATTTGGGTTCGCCATGGAGGAATCGTGTCTTCAGGGGAGCGAGCCCTGCGACTTTGCGCCACTGCCAACATCCCGGGGGCCCTCGACGGGCCCCAGGACGATTCGACAACTACTCAGGATGAAGAGCCGGTCTGGCCAGGGGGGCAGGCCCCAGGGCCCAGGACTCCGTGCACAGCACAAGGAGCGCGGGATGAAGGGCCAAGGGCCCGGAACCGTACACGGCACACGCCACGGCGGTCCTCTGCCAAAAACAGGTTCCCCAACCCAAGTCTGAGGGAGGGCCAGAAAACCAAAGCCACTCCTCAGCCCAAGGTCGTTCTGATTGCAGCGACTGGACTGTCTGTGAAATTACTGCACACGGCGTTCCTCGAAGGGTAGCGGATGCTGCGCAGTGCGCACCTCGTGGTCCCCTTGACAAGGGAGGGGGGGATGGAGGGAGGGATCAAATAGAGACAATTTTCCATCAGACTCCAGCATATTGACTTGCAGTGAGGCCCGAAAGGAAATCTTGACTTCACGCAAGTCGGGTCTCACTGGCATCCCGATTCGGCTCAACGCTGTTTACAAGAAAGATGCGGAGGAGGGTGCCATGCAAGTCCGCCGACCCCTTGCCATGTGTGAGAAGGCGTGTGGGATGTTTGGCTGTCCCCCTCCCTCTTTCCCCCTCCCCAGGGGTCTAAAACCTTGTTAGAGGGGGTGGATTCAGGGTGGAGCTCGTCAACGCACCCTTAGGGCCTCTGGAGCTTTCAAATCTGCAACTCGTGGCCTCCAAGATGCCCAAGATGCAAGTCAAGAGGGCCTCAAAACTGCACAAGAAGCCAAAAAGACGCCCCAAGAGGGCCTCAAGACACCCCCCAAGCCTCAAGAAGCAAAGGTCGTCCGAATTCCTGGGGAATTGTCAACAACTTAGCATTTTTGGTTCTAGCAACGTCCAATACGGCTCAAGAGGTCCCCAAGATCTCTCCAAGACGGCCCAAGAAGCCCCCAAAAGGGCCCCAGCAGGGCCGAAGAGGGCCCCAAGAAGGACCAAGAGGCGCCCAAGATGGCCCCAGAGGGCCCCAACAGGGCCCAAGAGAGGTAACTCGGACTGCTCTTCCCAGCCCTCCACCCCAGGACGACCCCCGCGACCGCCAGCTGACGCCCAAGAAGCTCCCAGCGGGCCCGAAGAGGCTCCCGAGGAGGCCCCAAAGAGGCCCCCCCGAGTGTTCCAAAAAGCAATCGAAAAAGCCTCACCCGTGGACGTCTTCCCTCTTCTGGGGGGCTGGCGGAATGGCGTAAGCCTCCTTGGATAACCTGACCGGCATCGGGGGTCCTGCAAGGTGGGCTTACGGGCCAACTGTGGCTTGCTGAGAAAATTGCCATGGACGTGCTTATGAGTCTGGCTGCCGCGTGTCGGACTTGATTGGGAAGGACACGCGAGAGGACACAAGACCTTTCCGAGGGCCACGTTGCCACACAAATGCACGAGGCATGTGTCGCAAGACGCAGGACAAAAGGGCAACCTTGATCTGACAGGGTCGACCTAATAATCTGGGCCGCCTGTATCCTGAACCACGCGACTTCGTTGTCCATCCGGACGTCGGCCCAACCCGCCCTTGCGTGAAACCTGGCATGTGCAAAAACTCCCAGCTCAAATTGCATCAATACGCTCTCCGTCCCGACGGGCGCAAAGGGGCTCGCCGCAGACATCGGACTCGGATCGGCATCGATATCGGATATCGAATCGACCTAATATCGAACCGATATCAAATCGACACCGATACCGGAGTCGTATCGAACATCGGGGCCTACTGTAGTCGATCTTACGAATCGAACCGATCGAATCGGAATGGGGCCTCAAGGGGAGGGGGGAGATGAGAAGGGCTCCGACGGGCAATGCCAAAATCCGCGCCATCCCCTCTTTGATCGATGGTTTCTTACATGGCCCCACAGGGGCCCCAAAAATATCACATGTATGTCGCATCGTCGGGGGACCTCATCTGTCGCGCCGCGCCCCTGTCCGCGTCGAATATGTGCCGAATCCATGTCGGACGCGTCGAACCCGCGACGAATCCACGTCGATTCCGCGTCGGATCCATACCAAATCCGCGTGGCGTCCTAATCGAACCCGCTTCGGGCACAAGAGATACGGGGCCCACTGAAAATACATCGAAACCACGCCGGATGCGGCAACAGCAAGATGCCACAATCTTCGGTGCAGAAAAAAATTATCGGGCGCGCCGCCGGAATTACGGCAGCGCCGGCACATCTAGGCTCGAGGCGGCCGTGGGGCCCCTCTTTGTTCCACTGCTTGCTCCCACACGTCCCTGATCAAGGCAAGCCGCCTGGACGTCGTACCTGGAGGTGCTGGTGAAGATACTTGTTGGTCCGCGGGCGCGCGAAACGAGTCGAACGCCGAACGTGCTACGGAGGGCCGCACCGGTAGCGAAGAGAAAAACAGTGACCGAACGCGGTAAGCAGCAGGAGAGCGTGCCGAACACGAAGACTTTGCTCACGAGCGTGGCCAAAGAGTGCCCGAAGAGCTGGTGAAGATGCGCGAAGCGTTAAGAGTCAAGAGCGTCGAGGCAAATGCAGCCGTGGCAACAAGAGGCCTCTTGGAAGCGAACACGAAACGATACACCAATGATAAATTAGTGTCGGCGTCGGGCCCTCGAGACAGTGTGCGTGCGTGTGCCAATTGGTCCATTGTCGAGGCCCGCAAGCACACCGTGCGCGACAGTGCCTGCTGCGCCGCGGGGGAGGAGGGCGCAAGGAGGGCGGCAGAGGGGAGGCGTGGAGGAGGAGGAGGCGCCCTGGAGGAACAGGGCGAGGAAGGAGGAGGGCGAGGCGCTGCAGGGGGAGGGCGCGGAGGAGGGCGGCACTGGGGCGGCAGAGCGGAGGCGAGGAAATGGCCAGGGAGGAGGCGAGGCGAGGCTCCCGGAGTCTGGGGGGAGGCTGTGGAAGAGGGCGAGGCGAGGCGAGCGCGCGAGTTCGGTCCGGCGGAACCGGCTCTCATAGGGCGGCGCGGGGGGGCCGGAGCCCTCAAGAGACGTGTTGAAGGCAGGAATCGGAGCCGGAGCTGGAGCCGGAGAGATGGATGAGAAACGACCAGTGGGCAGAACACGAAACGCTGGAGTCGGGGAAGCATTCCAGATCCTATAGGTTGTAGTGGGCGTAGGCGTATTGTATAAAATCATGTTTTAGATCCCTCCATCACTGTTGCTCTGCTGCAATTGGTAACCATTGGTTGTTGTGTTCCTGGTCGTCGCGGTCTTCACACATGCACTTGGCGCTCGTCTGCCCATCGCGTTCGTTGACCTCCGTGCCGCCGATGCGCTGGGCGCGGGTCGTGTGAGCGTGGTTGCCATGAGGCACCTAAGAAAGTCCACCTGTCGCAATCGTGTGTCGCCACACGGGATGCCCACTTCCATGTCCGTTTGAAATATAGAACAACCCATTCTTCCACTTGGGTTCGGGAGGGCGGAGGAGGGCGAGGAGGGTGGAGGCCCAGGCTCCTGAGCAGGAGGCGAGGAGGAGCTCCTCCCCGCCCTCCTCCTCCTCGCATTGCCTCGCCCTCGGTCCTCGCTTCGCGTGTCGACCGAGCTCCCCCCCTTCCGGGGAAGCACATCGATACTTGCACCGCTGAGCCCTGGACCTCTGCCAAGGAGCATTCTGAAGAGGATTTCGAGGCGAATCCAGCCGTGGCGACAAGTTGATTGGCGAGATGCTTCTGTCTTGTGACATGAAATGCCCCACTACGCCACCAGCACGCCTGGTCTCGGGAGCCCCGGTCCTGCTGACTGCACGCCTGGGCGGAGGACAGACGAGGCGGTGAGGAGGCGGTTCTCGAAGGTCCAGCATCCGAAGCGCGGCGAGAGAGCGCGACGATAAAATAAGGAGTCAGCCGCTTTCCCGCTCTATCGCCTCTCGCCCCTGGAAATGATATCCCGCCCCCCGGTCCCTCAGTGCGGGATCCCACCAAGGTCCTACAGTCAGGCCCCTGCCAGAAGGAACACTAAATAAGACACGAAGCCCCGTTCTTTCAGAATCAAATGATACATATGTAAGGAACGGCCGAGCCCCTTTCTGGAAGTGTTCCCTCATCGTTGCTTCTCGTTTTAAAAGAGACACCACCCCCCCGCCGAGATTTCATGTTTTGGTATGCGCGTAAACCTCAAGCCGCGTCGCGCAAGGAACCGAGGGGCTTGCGCGAGGAACTGGGCCCTGATGCGACCACGTGTGTATATATATATATATAAATATGGTTATCCACGCGAACCTCAAAACGCGCGCCGCAAGGAACGGCCCAAACGAACCCGCAGCACATTATCTTCGCAACGGCGCAGGGAACCCAGCCCCTATTCGGGGCCCCGTTCCTCAGATCATCCGCCCCGTTCGGCGAATCGATTGCGCGCGCGCCATAACCAAAGGAACGCCGAGGGGGCTTCGTGGCGCAATGGCGAAGGAACGCCAGCAGACCCAAGGAACCACAGAGCCCCTTCCGAACCCGAACTGGACCTTACTTCAGGAGCCTCATTGTGATAGGATTCAAGCAAGACCCCAATCGGATCCCGATGAGAGCCCACGGGGTTTGCAACATGAATCAAATACTACCCTGATCAGATGTTGATCGAATTCGGCCATCGGACCTCCTCCGTGGGACCTCTCCAATCGAACCTCCCCCGTAAAACTCCCCTCCCGCGCTCCGCGGGGCTTGGACTGTCTGCGATACTCTTGGAGCCTCTAGTGGGCTGCGGTGCTCACCCTGCTCCCACCGCCGCCCGCTCCGAAACCGGATTCAACTGTTTTTGTGCTGCTGACGAGATCGCTCGGCGGCCCCCGCCCCCTCCAGAACTGAGATCTTGCGTGCCAATGAAGGGGCCCAGGGGCACACAAGTACGGCAGGTCCGTGCCGTGTCGACCCTGGCGTTGGTTCCTGACACCGCGCTGGATCGTTCAACCTTGAACGATCGGCCGTCTCCGCAACGTCCGATCGTTCAACATCGACCGATTCTGGGCCGCCGTCGGCGTTCAACGTTGAACGTCGGCGGCGGGGTCGCCGCCGGTCGACACGACGCGAACCTACCGTAGACACACAGCCCCATAGTTTCCCACATGTTCTGGGTTGTCGTCTTCCCACCCACTTCCCATAGTTTCCCAAATGTTCCTGGGAATCGCTGATTAACTGTGTCTGTGTGTTGCTAAGGATGTCGGGGGGGGGGGGTCGTCAATTGGGTCCTACGGTGAAGTTGCTCAAAACTACTGTGCTTATGTCTGCAACCGCCCGCGCGTGGCGCCATTTTCGCGCTCTTTCCCAACGGGCACAACTCACATGGGGGGGGGGCAACTTCTGTCGCATCATCGGGAGACCTTGTCTGTCACTGTCCAAACGTCCAACCGCACAATTATCCGCATCGAATCCTTGTCGAATTTCCATCAGTCTCAGTCTTGTCGAATCCACGTCACATCCACGTCGAATCCACGCCGAATCCACGTTGGATCAGCGTCGAATCCGCATCGAGCCCGCGCCGGGCATCAGAGAAAAGACAACAGTGGTGGCAACATACGATATTCCCCGCAGATGCCTTCCCGCGATGCTCTGAATTTGGGGGGCGGAGAGATACGGATACGTGTTGTCCCCGGACCTCTCTTGGGGTGCGTTCTGACCAGAATTTCGAGGCGAATCCAGCGGTGACAACGAGGATTCCCCAGGAGGACCAGGAAAGGCCGAAAACGAAGGGGGACAACACGTATCCGTATCTTTTTGTCCCCCGATGGATGAACAAACAGCGCAGCACAAAAACTTTCGACAGTCCGCGCGGATCTCTGGGATCGGCGCTGGACCCCGCTCCCTGGCGAGGAGCGCGCCGGGCGGCGCCGCCAGGGGGGGCCCAGCTCCGATCCAGAGCTCCGCGCGGAACCCTCAGAATGTCTGGGTAGTCGAAGCCAATCTGGCGCCAATCTGGCAGGCCCAATCTGGCAAACGGGGGCAATCTGGCGAGGGAGCCAACGCGAATCCAGTCTGGCGCATAACCCAAATCATCCAGTTTGGCCGGGCCAGATTTGCCCTTGGGGCCCAATCCAATCTGACAGTCTGGCCTTCGACTACCCAGCCAAGGATGCAGCGTACATGACAAGCCACGGTCTTGTCCCTGCCCCGAAACTTGGCAAGCCCACATGCGATGACAATCTAAGGATGAGCCCTAGCTGACTGAGAGAATCCTTGAAATCGGCTTCAAGATCAGGCGATGCCAATCATAGGGATAGCGATCTGTTCCAAGCTGGGTCCATCTGGTGCAATGTTTCACCCAGCAGCAGAGTTTGACGGTCCCGGTCCCGAAAACGGCCCCTGGAGACAGAAAAAGGCAAAACGACGGCTCGACCCCAGAACCTCGAACCTGGCCCCTACCCCGCTCTCGCTGGCCAATACCACTGCCAGGCCACTTCAGACACCCAGCCGGCTCCAACTCCTCGCCGCCTCCCCGCGATGCTCCCCGAGGAGGCTCCCCGAAGAGAGGCCTGCGGCGGTCGTCGTCGATGTCGTCGTCGTCGTCGTCGTCGTCGTCGTCGTCGTCGTCGTCGTCGTCCTCGTCGCCTCCAATTTGGAAGCCCGAAATAGGTACGGAAGAAATGGGTACGATGCCCAGACGTTGTTCAAAACCGACAGCGACCGCTGCTCGGCAGGCGGCCTTTCTCAAATATGCAACGTCCGCGGCGGCACCGACAGCGAGTCCTGCTCCAAACGGGCAGGACATGCCGTCGGACTTTGCACAGAGGCCGCCCAGATGGGGTCGCAGCAGATGGGGTCGGAGGATCGCGCCGCATCCACAATGCGTCGCCGATGCATCACCGCTGCATCGGCGATGCGTCGGCGACGCCAGCGTGGAGAAACCCAGGCTCCACAATCGAGTCGCATAGCCGGTGCATCGCCGATGCATCGGCGATGCGGCACGATCCCCCGACCCCACCTACTCGGACCCCATCTGGGAAGCTCAGGTCGACATGAGCAGGTGATGCTGCCGGTCATTGCACCCAATTCTTCCGCAACCACCTCGATCGTCCCGCCCCAGGGGGGATCGCCCGCAGGGGGGCCCCCGCTCCTGGCGTCCCGCCCCGCGCCGCTCGCGGCGGGCGGCGCGGGCGGCGGCGGCGGCCCGGGGCCTCGGGACTCCGCGGCGAGGAGGACCCGGGACCGGAAGCCGGCCCACTGCGCTGCTGTCTCGCAGGGGCCGCACAGGAACACAGCAGTGCGAATGTCCTCCTCGGAGGCCCGCGTGTCTCGTCGTGCATCGCTTCCCGAGCGGTATGGCCAGAAAACGCCCGCCACGGAGCTTATGCTATGAGATGTTTCCCGGTGCGCGCGTCGCCCCAGGGGGGGGCGACGCGCATAGTCTGAATATGTTGGGGTGACGCCGAGCCCACTCTGTTGCTGCTGGTGGGCACGCGACTTCTACTGCGGCACCCCGCGCCAGCTTTCATGGTCTGAGCGGGCCCCTCACTCTTCCCCCCTCGCTTCCTGATCCCTTCCACCTTCGTGCCACCATTCGCTCCCGGTGCACCCGACCACTTGCTGACCGGGGTCGGAGGCGGCGCGCTTCCTGGACAACGGCCTACAGTCGACCCGTAATTATAGTAAGGATGCGCGATAAGGATGCAAGGGCCTTGGAAGGTCTCATCGAAGCTTCTCGAGCGGGGCGTGGCCAATGAAAGTGGCGAAGGATGGACGGAGGAGGCAGAGGAGGAGGAGGAGGAGGAGGAGGAGGGCGAGGAGGAGGAGGGCGAGGAGGAGGAGGAGGAGGAGGAGGAGGGATGCGAGGGCACCCTTGGGAAGGTTGCCCCTCCTTGCTGTGCAGGTTGACTGTACTTCGAAGGGCCTGGAGGCTTCGAGGAAGGCTTCTTAGAAGCACGGAGGTCTTCTGAGAGGGCCCCTCCGCCTGCCTCCGCCTGCCTCCTCCTCCTCCTCCTCCTCCTCCTCCTCCTCCTCCTCCTCCTCCTCCTCCCTCCCTCCTCCCTCCTCCCTCCTCCCTCCTCCGTCTGCCGTATTCGACGCCCCCGGCCTTCTGTGAAGGCCGCCTTCCTCCGCTACCCTCTCGGGCGCGCCACCAAACTGCCTCGCTGTCCTGGGGCTTCGCTGTGCTCCTGCTCGCTAGCGGCATTCAGCACGCGTGCGGAGCTACACTGTTTATGCCCACTTAACTGTGGCTCTGCAGCGTTCCTGCTCTGGACGCTCAGCTTCTGAGGCGGCAGAGGGCTTGAGAGACCCATCCCATGAATGGGGGACTGCGGCTCCGCCACGCACGCCGATCACCAATACCCAGACATCCAACGTCTGGAGA